TTCTCCCATGATTGTTCTCTCTAGGGCGTGTGTCTACTTGAGGTAAATGCTTAACTCACATGCCTGTACATTGTTTGGCTGGCAACCACAGGTGTGGGTTCAATTCCAGACCTGAAGGGCAGCTAGGGACCATAGTCTAGTGGTTCCACCTTGAACCCACATTTTATGAATTTACTTCCATTCCAGTTTTACTTCATTAGCCATGACTGACCCTGGGAACAACCAGTTTCAAACCCTGGAAATCTGGTTTACAAGCTACATTTGAACACATGCTGTCTGTTCATATCCACTCTGATAAGGATTCTCCAAGTGATAACAGAGCACTCAAGTGAGAGTCAGAACAGGCAGCCTATGACACCTGACAGGAAGTCCTTTAACCCAAGACATGCAGCACTCTGATTAGGGAAGGACGTCCAAGCTGGCAGGAGGTGCCAGCCCAGATCAAGATGAAAATCCCAGCCACATCGCTCTCTGGAGCTGCATCCGGTACTTTACTGGACAACTCTTTCCCTCACTTCTCTGTTTCTGAGTGCCTCTGGTGCTCTCTTTCACACAGTTCTTCAGTTGCCATCCTATCTGCAACACATGAGTTGGGCTTCTCTCCCTATTAAAAAAATGATCTGACTCGGTACTGTATTATCAGTAATACGAACGTTGATCTGTGGGTGGGTACGTAGGTTGACAGGCAAAATGATCGTGTATGTGTAGGCAAAATGGAAAATAGTCATGACCATATATATGTTTCACAGATGTTTCTACATATGTCTTTGTATGTGCTATAAGAATGTCCATATTTATAATAGAGCTAACAGGGCTTTGGTAGCATAGTGCCTAAGGCACTTGACTGCTAACCAGAAGGCTGGTGGTTCAAACCCACCAGCCACTCCTCAGAAGGAAGGTGGGGCAATCTACTTCCATAGTGATACTGCCTCAGAAACCCAAGAAGGGGTTGCTATGAGTTGGGTCTGACTCGACGGCACATAACAACAACAACAACAACAGGGCAAAGTTATCATAACTTCTTAGCCACAGCCAAGGGAGTGAATGGCTGGGCCCATGGGCTCAGGACCATGGTTGCAGGAGACATCAAGCTCAACTGGCCTAACATACTACATAAAAAACATTGTTCTGTATCCTACCTTGGTGAGTGGCAACTGGAGTCTTAAAAGCTTGCGAGCAACCATCCAAGGCGCAAGAGTTGGTTTCCCTTCATCCAGGGAGTGGAGAAAATCAAAGACACATGGAAACAATTAGTCCAAGGGCCTAGTGACCATGGGAACACCGGCCTACATGACCCTGAGTCCAGAAGAACTAGATAGTGCCCGGTTACCACTGCCAATTAACTTGCAAAGGGATCAGTGCAGGAAATCCTGGATAGAGTGGGAGTGCAACAAAACTCAAAACCATAAAATAAAGACCAGGCTTACTGGTTTGATAGAGACTGGGGAAACCCCCAAGGCTGTGGCCCCTGGTCACCTTTTGGGCCTGGAATTTGAACTCACTCCCATGGCTTCCAGCCAAATAATAGACAGGCATAGAAGGTGAACCTTTACACCAGGTAGTTAGACTTCTTAAGAACAATCAACCATGGGATATCCGAAGGGCAGCATTTGCACAGAGAAATGGCTCATGTGTCAGGAATGCCTAGGAAAGAAGGACACAGGGAAAAGGTAAACAGGGAGGAAGTGAAGAGAGAGCTGATATATTATGGGGATTGCAATCAGTGTCATGAAACAAAATGTATGAATTGTTGAATGGAAAATGAGTTTGCTCTGTAAACTTTCACTTAAATCACAAAAAATGGAAAAAAAAAAAAAGATCTTCAATTCTACAGAATAAATAGTACTGGGCTTGTGCTGAGTTAGGGTTCTTTTTAGCAAATATTCACCAACCACCTTTGAAACCTAAGACACTAAGATAAGAGTTGTAGAACACGCCAGGTTCTTACGAGTGGGCTTGTGTTCTTGCTCTCTCCAAGACAAGGAGAGACAGGTCAGGTGTGCCAGGGACCATCACTGCTGTGGGTCTTGTCCTGTTTTGCTCAGGGTCCAGCTCTCACACACCTCTGCCCGCACTCTGGTTAGATTCCTGTTATACTCCGCAGGGAGGTCGGGCCCTGTCTGCATCTCTAGGTCTGGTGAGTCTCGTCCCAGCAGCTCTCCTGCACGCACCGTCCTTCCACTCGATGACTGTCTACACATCAGTGAGTCTTGAAAAGCCACTGGTGTCCCTTCTTTGGATAGGATCTGGCAGCTTGTCGAGGATACACAGGTATGTGCATCATTCCTGTTGCAATTCATTCCTTCCCAACTTCTAGATCCCTACTTTGGTATTCCCAGACTTTTCCCATTTTAAACTATTCCATTTGCCTTCACTTCAACTGTCTCCCTTTTGCTTAAGTGTAACCTCTTTGAAATCCACCTGTACTGAGTTAACATCATCTCAGCTTCCTCTGATAGATTTGCATGTGTGTGTATGTATGCAGACACATGTATCATCTTACAATGAGACTTTCAAAAATGACTTCAAATCACTTTTATTTATGTCCTTTTGGCCATAACTGGGTCACATGACCAACCCTAGCTTCAAGAGAGGCTGAAAGAGTGAGTGTTTAGTACTTCCAGCCTCTGTCTTGGAAGACAGGAGGGACGGGGATAGGACTGGGTGATGAGTCAACCAGCTGTACTCACTCTTTGGAATAAACCAACCAGGCTTTTCTCCATTTGGTCTTTAAATTACCGCAGAGGAGTGGGTTGGGGTAGAAATGAAACAAGATGTGCCTTGAGTTGGTAATTATAGAAGCCGAGTGAGGAGTACATCTACCCCAGGAAGGCAGAATTGAGCTTGAAAGGACGTTGGTGGGGCAAGTCCCTCTGGGGGATGGACAGCCTCCCAGAGCCCCACCTCCCCGCTCTGCAGGTCTGATAGGCCAGGGATGTAGGGGGTTGGGGTCTGGTCTAGGAAGGAGGTCCTCCACCTCCTAGGATGCTGTACTTTAGTGACTAGAGACCACTGCAGATTTAGGTAGTCTGATCTTCTCAGACTTTGAAGTGCCTTAAGTGGCCCCGTCTGCTCATTCCTGACTGCCATGGCTCAATCCCAAAGGACAGAGGAACTCATCAGCAGTCAGGGTCCTTGGGCATGAGCAGATGGTCTCTCTAGATGAGGTGGCCTCCAAGGACCAGGCCAGCACAATTCAGTGACTGGTCAGATAGGAGGGCATCCACAGAGATGCATTTCACACGTTGACCTCGCCTGGGCCTTGGTCTTGGTCGTCTGTGCTCCTGCTTGAGCCCCATCCATGTCCTTGGCAGGACCTGCCTTCGCAGCCAGCACTGCCACCTCTTCTTTCCTCACTCAAAGGACTGAGCTGCTTCCAGAAATTCCTGGCCTTTCTGGATGGGGCCACGC